TTGTAATGGTGTAAAATAAACAAACAAGAGTTGTCTACACCAAAAAAAGTCTCAATATTTGTCCATACATTTAGTTTCTCAATTTAACAACTTGTAATGGTGTAAAATAAATAAACGAGAGCTGTCTACACCAAAATAAGTCTAAAATATTTGTCCGCACATTTATTCTCTTAATTTAACAACTTGTAATGGTGTAAAATAATTAAACGAGAGCTGTCTACACCAAAATAAGTCTAAAATATTTGTCCATACATTTATTCTCTTGTAATGGTGTAAAATAATTAAACGAGAGTTGTCTACACCAAAATAAGTCTAAAATATTTGTCCGCACATTTATTCTCTCAATTTAACAACTTGTAATGGTGTAAAATAATTAAACGATAGCTGTCTACACCAAAATAAGTCTAAAATATTTGTCCGTACATTTATTCTCTCAATTTAACAACTTGTAATTGTGGGAATTAATCAAATGAGAGCTGTCTACACCAAAATAAGTCTAAAATATTTGTTCGCACACTTATTCTCTCAATTTAACAACTTGTAATGGTGTAAAATAATTAAACGAGAGCTGTCTATACCAAAATAAGTCTAAAATATTTGTCCATACATTTATTCTCTCAAGTTAACAACTTGGAATTGTGTAAAATAATTAAACGAGAGCTGTCTACACCAAAATAAGTCTAAAATATTTGTCCGCACATTTATTCTTTCAATTTAACAACCTGTAATTGTGGGAATTAATCAAACGTGAGTTGTTTACATCAAACTAAGTATTTAATATTTGTTGAGACATTTATTCTCTCAATTTAACAACTTGTAATGGTGTAAAATAATTAAACGAGAGTTGTCTACACCAAAAATAATCTCAAATATTTGTCCACACATTTATTGTCACAATTTAACCACTTGTTAATAGTGGAAATTACTTAAATGCGACTTGTTTAATCAGTTGACATCAATGCAACTTACTGTAAATGGGGTAATTATTCACTGGGTTTTAATTTAGCTTATTTCGCTGACTGGAAAATGCGCTAAATTAAAACACAGTGAA